AATAATGGTGTTATTAATGAGATTTTTATGAAAGACAGACTTCTTTAGTATAATTATGAAAATTGATCTTTTTCATTTTACTTATTCTCTGAAATCAGATAAGTGGCTTAACTACATGTATTATTTCTAATAAATATTCAAAAGAATGCATTTAAACAAGGCACCTCATTCTATTCTTGCTCATATTCCTTGCATTTAAATAAAAGTGTAATTGCTCTGCTTTTTTAAACTGCTAGTTTGGATTAGCTGTCTAACCTGTACAGTGTAGCTGTTTTCTGTTTGCATTTTTAATAGCTTTATTACCATTTGGTGAAGCCTTAATTTCTCGCTCCCTTGAAGAGTCCTGCCTTTAAGTCAGCTCTACAATTTAACCAGCAATAATCTGTCAAGATAAGATAAAGACCTACACCAGATGAAATGCAGTATTTTTGTGTAGCATTCTGTCATTGTTAAAGGAAAGATCTGAGTATGTCAAAATGTAACACCTGAAAGTTTAATAAACTTTGTAGCATAATTTTACAGTTCACATTTTAAAATAAATTGTTCTAGAATACATTAGCTTGTTCACTAGTGAAATCAGTTAAATATCTATATAAATATGTTTGGGTGAAGGGAGCCAGCAGTTTCTCAACAAGGATAAAAGTTCTTTCAGTTTTCAAGCCTCAGATTAAGTCACTTCTGAAAATCTTTGCTTCAATTCAGTTCTATTAACTCTGCAGTTTCCTCATAGTTCCTTCATAATATTTGGCCACAACATCACTGCAGAGGTTCATTAAATATTGCAAACATTTTTTTTTTTTTTTTTCAGAGATAATACTGAGGCAATTGAAGTGAAGCATACTCAAATCCTCACTTTCAGGATTTCTGCTGCTCTCCTGTATTCCTGTTTCTTTTCACATTCCTGTTTCACATATTCATGCAAGTAATTTTTCTGGTTTTTAATAGAAATATGTGAAGATGAGGTCCTAAATCTTAGGGTAAAATAGCAACTGAACTGTGTCAGGTAGGTATGTATGAACTAATATACTTTTAGAACAGAAGAATGAAGGGTAAGTTCTCAGTTCTACCTTCACTGAACCTGCTATTCCATGTGCAAATGGACATCATTGCATTTCATCTCACCATTCAATGGCACACTCAATGCAAATGGTAGAAGCCTGGGCTCTGTAAGCTACTCCTGAGTCTATGAGAGTAGATGTAGGGTCAGATACATGGCTGAGGAGGATAAAGCAGAGCACTGTGCATGGGACTGTTTGGACAGCCTTCTATTCAAATCCTGCACTCCTATGCCCTCTGGACAGCTTGGACTGTGCTGTGATCTTGCTTTGTTCAACTTAGGACGAAAGGAAGTCTTAGGATTTTGCACCCAAGCTTTTAGATACATATCTTTTTTTTTTTTTTTAGTAACTGAACTTTAACGAATACTTTTTTTCCTCCCTTAAATAAAAACCGCAGTAAGCTAAAAAGCCAGTACTAGTAGCTATTTGCAGCCATTTTGCTTAGCTCACTCCTTGGGCTCAAGCTGTTGTCTTTCTCCACAATGACAAGTCCTCCACTTTGAGGTTGGTTAAACTTTCCCAGGGCAGCTTTGCTAAAACACAGACTTCCTTGAAATGGTTCCATTTTCATGAACTATCATGTTGAAGTGAAAAATATCTGATTTGCTGTCAATGCCCCGGTCCATTTAAATTCAGTATTCCATATTCCTGGGCTAGTTCTGCACTGAATTATATTAAGAAGCAGCCCAAAATGCTCTTTCTAATGTCTCTGAAGATTTGGCGCCATAGACCCTATATTAGTTGCAGATATGATGGTACAGTGTATTTTCATTTCTCATAGTCAGGAGAGAGCCTTAACAAATTCTGAATGTCTATCTGAAAAATACTTGCTACAAGCAGGGATCTCCACTGAACAAGGCATTCAATCACATTCCTAAGTCCATACTTGTGCTTAGGGCCTGATTTGTGTCTGAAGGACTTTTGGGAGTGGCAAACTGACATTCCTCTGCTCTGACTCCCTCTGGGAAATGCAGTTTAGACCAGGAGAAAAGGTTCTTTGGCCAGTGAGTGAATTATATCAGCTCACAAGACCACAAAACACATGGGGAAAAAGAGCTTGTCTGCCAGCATCAGGGGCCAGGAGATCAGCACCTCTTGCATGGAAGCTTGAAGCTGTTTAAGATGTCCTCTCTTAAAGCCATGCTAAGTAACAGCAGTACTGAGCTGGGATATTGATCCTTGACCATTGTGCAAGGTTACTGCTCCAGCAGCTCTGTCTGTGCGAACAATCCTCTAAAGCACTTTGGCAGAAAGCAGCCAGGTTAATGCCAGCTGCCCAGCTCATCCAGGCTAACTCAGGCAGCCTTGCCCATGCAACAGCAACAGCAGTGACCTCCAGGAACATGCTGGTGACACCTTCATTTGACACAGCTCTTTCCACGGTAAAAATGGACTTTTAACCTGATTATTTTCTTCACAGTATGAAGTGAGGCATGGATGCAAACATCTCTTCCTACTAGCAGCCCAAGCATACATCGACCTGGAAGAGTGTTTATACAAGCATGAATCAAAACAGAAGGAAGGGCAGGTAGACATTACCTCTGAGCAGGAGGAATGCTTCACCTGGTGAAGCTGGAGCCAACTAGACTCCAAAATTGCCTAAGAGCCTTCCCAAACTACAACTTTACAGCTGCTATCTCAAATCATTCTCTAAACAAGGTCTCACATCCCATGTTTTTGACAACTCTCTCCACACCAAAACAACTTGAGTTTAAGACTAGTCCAGGCTGGAAACACATGTACCTTTTGAGGTTAATGTAGTGGACTCCATGTTTCTGTCTCTTGGGTAAGTTTCTATATTTTAAAAAGTAGAAGCACTACCCCACATGTGTATGATGTGACAGCACGTGTCAATTAAAGGTGTAAAAAATGATTACAACAAGATGCTCTGATTTGAGTAACCACAGAGAAGCCAAAGGGCTTGTGGTTCTATGACAAGATAATTCAGAAAATCACAAGGCAGTGTGACATCTGGAGTGAAGAAAGACTTGTGGCAATATTTTCTTAAGGATTGCATGATGAAAAAATAATAATAAACATTAACAATGTTTGGGGTTTTTTTTTCTTTTTTTCTTTCCCATGACATAAACAATGGTACTCTGGTCATAAGCCAAAACCTGACAAAGGTCCAAGGTTGAAAAGGGTTTCTTTGAGCCTGTTTTCCTGGTATAATTATTGTAGGTTCAGAGGAACCAGATCTGGAGTGTTGTAAAACTCAACACAATGAACTTGACAGACAGCCAGATTTCTGTTTTCAGGCAGTTTAGGGTTACTATAATCTCATTATTATGCTTGAAAGACGACAAGTAATAGAATCTCAGGTAGCTGTTCTGTCTTTACTCAGCCGCATCTTCTCTTTTATGCCAATTTCCCTTGATTACCTGAACTAGTGAGGCTCAGTTTTCAACCACTTATCTTCCAGCAATAATCATCTGATCAGCCTTACAAGGTTCTCACTGCACTCAACAGTTTTAATGGGTCAAGCGTTAAATTAACCCTTTAACCATATCCCACAAGAATACAAAACTTATTATAAAACAATTTACTATTCAGTCATTCTTAACTTTGCAGAGGAGAAGGAGTTCTTCAGATGGATTTGCTTGTTGTTCTACCCACTCATATCTTGTTTTGTTGCATCTTTACCCTTACTAACACATGAAATCTTTCTAAAGCTTCTGCTTAAGGAAACATTCTTCTGGTTTCTTACTTCTAAAGAAACATGAAATGAAGCCACAGGAAAAACTTGTGTATCTTATGTTCTATTTTAAGGCAACTTTTTACAAAGATTAAATTAATTTTTACATGTATGGAAGAACAAGTCTGAAAAAAATGACCCATGTCAGTCAATGTTGTATCTCTTGCAGAATTGTAAGGCTCAGGAACGTCTTGTGGACCCATCTGTAGGCTGGGAAGGGTTTGCAGCTCTGGTACAGCAGAGTGTTTGTACCAGCTACAGCAGGGAAGTAGCCAAGCAAGAGGTCTCTTACTCACATAGATCTGTTGGTGTGCAGGGCAGTCAGCAGCTGTGCTGCCACTCCCAGCCTCCCCACAGAGCTCTGGAGTCCCCTCCAGGACAAG